GTCAAAAGGATAGGACTTTTCAACGAAATCAGACGAAGAAGGTGTGAAAGAGAAAAGGCTCAAATCTGGAACATTGTTGAGGAATCCAAATGAAGAGAAACTAGGGGAAGCCACAGATCCTGAGGAGAACCTCAGTGACTTCCCAGTCTATCCTATGGTTTGGCTCCAATTTTAGGAAGAAAATATTAAAGTGTTTTATCCTGCCAATTTTATTTAATTAGGGCTTATATTTGCGTGACAGGGTCACACAAATTGCCTAGAAGATATGAGGGTTTACGTCGTATCGGACGACAACCTCGGAACCTAGAACGAGTTAGGGCTTAAATCGTACAGCAGAGCTATACGAATGCCTAAAGAAAAAAGTGGAGAATTTATGTTGCGCTAGGCGAACAACCTCAAAATCCTATGTATTGTTGTTTAATTTCTAGGAAATGAATGATTTTGCTGGGGAAGACATTTTCTGCTGTTGAAAATGGCCGTGCTGCCCACCGTGCTAGCTCCAAGCTCGCCCGACATAACGAGTTTAAGTTTTCTAGGGTGTCCAGTTATAGTGTTAAATCAAACGACCCTATGGTTATAGTCCTCTAAACATCCTATGCAAAAAGGAAACATGCGTGAAGTTATATAATATAAAGTGTGCAACGCAGAAACAAATAATAGAATGCACGTGGAACAGAAGTAGGCAAAAACAGGAGCAGTATAGCATGCTATACAATAGAGTAACAGGTGAAAATAAGAACAATATAACATGCTATACAGGAAGAACAACAGCAGATAGAAATAGGAAGAGTATAACATGCTTTACAGGAAGAACATTAGCAGGTAGAAAACAGGACAAGTGTAACATGCTTTACAGGAAGAGCAGCAGCAGGTAGAAAACATGACAAGTATAATATGCATTGCAAGCCTAAATGCATCTCAAAAAGCAATCTCGAAGGAAAGAAAAGGTAACACGAGTGCCCTGTCCCAAAGCTTCGATAAAACAAAAAGAAAATTCGGATGAGGGGGACTGCAAACACTCGTATGGGACTAGGCTCAGCTATATTTATTCTTGAGAGTCCACGAAGGCTACTCGGTCACCCGAATGTATAGAACCTGCCACTCGTCTAGAAGTGTGTCTTGAATCTCACTTAGAGGGCTATTTCCTAGCCTAAACAGATATTTGTCAAGTGGACGACGTATTTTAAAACATATTTTAAAATTTATGTTTTTGACATACACACAAATTTTAAACATACAAAGAAGAGTTATCATTTTTGTTTCGTAGAAAAGTGTATTTTTGTTTGAAAATGGTTTATCAAAACTTATCTTTTTTTTTTAGAAATTT